TGACATATGTGATATGATATATGATATGATATGTGATATGATATTATATGATATGATATGATAACATTCCAATGAGGAAGACTTGTCCTCTGTTGTTTGAAGATGAACATTAAAAAACTTTACCTCTGCGATTTCTGGAGTGGATTCTGCCTTGTTCACGTAGCTCAACACATGGGACCAGTTCTGGAGGTAAACACTCACCTGTGCAGAAACAAAACACAATATTAACAATGACTTGTGTGTTTACATGAATTTGAATGTATTTGTTGTGTGATGCTGAAAAGCAAAGGCAGATAATAATTTGGTTCTGTTAGCGAAACATTTAACTCACTGACTGCATTTTTTTGAAAGCTCTAGAAGTCAAAACAAGTTAGCTGCCACAGCTAGCTGATCTTAGAAACACAAATGGCTATAATTCAGTCAATTTCACAGATAAGCTAAAATTTGGATGTGGTTGTAGCTAAAGTCGTCTCCAACACGTACTAAAAATGCTACAGAACATTTGCATTTACTGTCAGAGTGAACAGTTTCTGTTTTCAGTTCACATTCAGTGTGATTTCATGTTCAAATAAACACATTTTCTTGCTATTTTGTGTTTCGCTGCAGCCCAGTGAGACAGAGGTTAGGACACCATGTCTCTCTTCATATCCCATTCATGTTCCAAGTCTAAAACAAAGCCACTGAGTCACTGAAACATGACATCAGTGTGAGTGTTGTACTTCCATCCTGCTGTACCTTTATGACATTCAGACACATGTTAATAACATGTTTAGCACTGGTGCAGTAGTCTCTGGCACGGGAGTAGCATTTCAGAGCATTACTGAGGTCACCACAGTCCAGGTAGTGGTCCCCCAAATCATCATGGCCTCTCCTAGAGAGGAGAAACAAAGTGACATGTGTGATATTGTATCATCCTGTATGATGGGGCAGCAGTCAGTGCTCAACATGTGTGTGTTCTGTTGGTCTGTTTATGTCTGTGCATCAAAACTCACTAGAACGATTATATTAAGCAACAAAATACTTTTATACCCACCTTTAAATAAACCATGTTAAATGTTTGTTTTAATACAGCATTACTAACATCTGATACTGGCCCATGTCCACTTAAAGTAAAAATGTTAAAAGTAGAACACCTGAATAGAAACAGCAAAGTTTTTCAGTAACAAACTCAGTGCTGCAGTCACACCTGATGCTCTCTTTAATGGAATTSCCTTTGTAGTTTTTCAGATCCGTGTCCAGTTTCTCCAGTTTGAGAAGAGCCTTTTTCCTGGTGGATTCGGCCCAAGCTGAGTCCAGAGGAGGAGAAACGACCCCTCCTTCAGGCGCTGCATCTGAAGCACTCTGCACCTCCCTGCAGTTAGAAAACAAACTAAACTAAATAAATAAAAAACCTTGCAAATATCCTGGGATTGGACAGGTTTATTACAATAATTTGAACCTTTGCTTCATTCCTCTCACTTTGAAACGACATGAACTGTTCAGTTCTGCTCATGTGCAAAAAACTGCGAGGAGACAATTGATCCGTGTTTGTAATCATCCAGTCACATCCTTTAAAATCATTAAATGCATCATTTTATCTGTTTTACATTTATCAGTAACTAAGTATAAGAAAGCTTTCAGTAGTATATAAATATGTAAATACTGTCGGGTTAAGGTTAAAGTTATTTCAATCTGACTTACTTTGATTTAAATTGCGTTGGGCTGAAATTAAAACCCAAAAAACAGTTTTATCTGATAATACCTATTGGCTTCAGTGAGTTTGCGGTGGATCTCTTCATAAGTGTCCACATTAAACGTCCTTTGGATGAAGGTGAGGGCCATCTTCAGAGCTTCCACTCGCAGCTGAGGACAATGTTCAGCAATAAACTGAAGCCTTTCGATGCGCATTAATCCACTGTAGCTTGTGGCATACTGCTCCAGGTCCTGCACAGACGGAATAAATGAGAGGAAAAAGAATCACACCTGAAACATTCAGCTCATTTAAATCGTGATATTTTGTGGTATATTGAGGGTTGGATGGTTACTGAATAGTGGTTAAGGATTTATAGATGGACATGAAGATTGTGAATCAATATTTAAAAGTTAAAACTGGATAGAGCKATTACTGCAAGATTACGTAGCTTCCTGTGGTAGAAACATGTTGCAGTAAAACTTTTCACATCTTTATCAGCTTTTATTCACTGAACTCTGTAGAATATTTGTTTGTAAATAACGTTAAAATATAATTTGAAAAGCCACTGTCATTGAAGTTTCAATGGAAATGAATACTAAAAGGTAAAACATTGTTTGTTCTACAGAACACGACAGCTCTCCTTAGATGTGATTTGATTCAGTTGTAATTTAGTGCTGCCAAAGAATTCTACAACCATCTCAGTTATCTTGAAACTTTAATTACAATGACCTATTTTACTTAAAACACTGATTTATACACGGTCATGTTTAAAGAGTGTACAAAAACATTAAATAAAACCTATTTAACACAGGCTGCTCACCAACAATTAGCATGAATGCTAACTGAACACTTGTTAATGGGTACATTTGTTTTTTTTTTACTTGTCAGTGTCATTTCTTTTTAATTTTTGTTTTAATATTCAGTTTTTTAATGGCTATTCAGAACCATTTGTTTTTTATCAGTTTGAGCTCGTCACCCTGCCATTTTCAAAAGATTATTAGTCATATGAAACCTGCTGGGTCTCCAAAAGATCCAATTCCACCTCGTCTTTTAAAAGAGGTTTATTCCACTGTGGCACCCGATGTGTGCAATATTATGAATGCCAGTTTAGCAAATGGACAGGTACCAGTGAGTTTTAAACATGCTGTGGTGACATCACTAATTAAAAAGCCTGGTCTGGATTCAACCATAATGTCAAATTTAGGCCAATCTCAAAGCTCCTGTTCTTGTCTAAGATCCTGGAGAAAGATGATTATAACCAACTGATTTTATATCTAAATGAGCATAAACATGTTGAGCCCTTTCAGTCTGGTTTTAAAACTCACCACAGCACTGAGTCTGCACTGTTGAAAGTTTTTAATGACATTTTTTTAGCCACAGACTCTGGTCACTGTGTTGTTTTAATGCTGCTGGATCTGACAGCTGCCTTCGACACAGTGGACCACCAGATACTTCTGTCTCGCTCAGAGAACTGGGTGGGCATTAAGGGTTCTGCTCTGCTCTACATTGGTTTAGATCCTATCTATCAGAGACGAGCTTTTGTGTGTGTGTCAGAGCAGTTGAGTCCTCTGAAGCACCTCTCACGTGTGGAGTACCTCAGGGCTGTATACTTGGCCCTCTTCTTTTTTCCCATTTATTTACTCCCACTAGGATCTATTCTCCAGAAACATGGTGTCCCATTCCATTTTTATGCTGATGACACCCTAATTTATTTTCCATTGAAACAGGAAAATCTATATTCTGTGAACAAACTCCTGGAATGTTTGGCAGAAGTCAGAGCATGGATGTCACTGAAATTTTTACATTTCAATGAACAAAAGACAGAGGTTGTGTTGTTTAAGTCCAGTGACATCWCTAAAGTCCAAGTTGATCTTGGTACTTTAGCACAACCTCTGACCAAGACAGCAACTAACTTAGGTGTTAYACTGGACAATGATTTTAAACTAGATGTTCAGATTAAATCRGTGATCAAGTCCAGCTTTTATCACCTGAGACAACTGGCCAAGGTCAAGCCATTTCTTTCTCATCATCATTTTGAAATCTTGATCCATGCTTTTATCTCAACTCGTTTAGACTTCTGCAATGCACTTTATGTTGGGCTGAGCCAGTTGTTACTGAATCGACTTCAGCTGGTCCAGAACGCTGCCGCTCGCCTTTTAACTGGTACCAGAAAACGAGATCACATCACTCCTGTTTTAGAATCATTACATTGGCTTCCAGTTCGCTTCTGGATTACCTTTAAAGTTTTACTGTTTGTTTTTAAATGTCTTCATGGTCTTGCCCCAATGTATTTATCTGACCTGCTCCAACCTTACACTCCCTCTCATGCCCTCAGGTCAGCAGATCACTTTCTGTTGGTCGTCCCTGAATCTAAGAGGAGGCTGAGAGGTGATCGAGCATTTTCAGTCGCTGCCTCTAAACTGTGGAATGAGCTGCCTTTGGCTGATTCACTTCCTGTTTTTAAATCAGCTCTTAAAACACATTTTTACTCCTTGGCTTTTAACTCAGTTTGAGATGTTGGTTTAATGTTTTTGATTTTAGATATTGGCTCATTTTACTTAGTTTATTGTTTWGTGTATGTTTTATGTGTTTTTAATCATGTAAAGCACTTTGGCCAACGGGGTTGTTTTTATAGCGCTTTACAAATWAAGTTGTATTGTATTGTATTGAACACAGTTGATGACTGCTGTAAAACTGTTCTCATCTGTCTWAACATAAAAACTAGTTTCCGTCCATGTTGCACTGTTGGAAGGCTTTTATAAAGGAATGGACAGTAATAAAAGAATAAACATTACCAGTGTGGGATTCTCCACTATGTAGTTAATATCTGGAGCATTCTGCTGGTCCTCCTGGGGGTCTGCATCAATCTGCATGGGTTCCACAGATCCCTGAGAAAACACAGACCATGCAGAGGTTTGTATTCACAGATGCACAAGACAAGCAAGAACACAAACACGCGTTTACAGTTCCTGAATAATCTATTCCAGTGCTTCCCAAAGTTGGGGTCAGGACCCAAAGTGGGGTCCCGAAACATCAGGGTGGGGTCCTGAAAAGATTTTCTGAATTAATTACATTTTTGTCTTAGTTGTTACAAATGAGTGAGTTTAGTATATTTAAAATGATAAATGTAGAATAATAAATATTGTTACTATGCCCATGTTTAGTTGACCTGATACAAATGTTTATCATCCAAAAATACTTGTGGGCACAGGTCTCTGCTACTGTTATTTTGTGGGTCAAAAGCTGAAAAATTTGGGAACCACTGCACTTTGGTTCCCAAAGCTGGGCTTGGGACCCAATTATGGGT